CTTAGTTCTATTTGGCAAATTTGTTCTATCTATAATACAAAACTTTGGAATAACCCTAAGTGAGAAACATAATCTCAAAATCTAATATGGTTGACTTGCCGGGCCAGAGCTTTCTTGTTATTAGTGTAAAGTGCTGATTATCGTAAACATTGGTATCCGTACGTACTACGTAGATATGTAGTATGAATTTATGTCAGCTTATAAATTGTTTATAGAAATATCCACAATCTTTATTTATTAAAGAATTTACTTCTCATACACGGAGTGGAAGCGGATACTTCACGTAGAAAGAGGATCAGGTGAATAATTGAAAACTCTTCAAACACTTAAATTCTTGCTTTTAGCATAAATTATTGTATAGCCACCGAAAGAATTAGCATACAAATAATTCAAGACAAATACAAAAAGTAACTTGCATAATTACAGGTTCTTCCAACTAGTTTCAAAGTTACTAAAAAATAAGGTTAGTTAATGTGGATATTAAAAATTTTAAAGTATATCTGGTTTCGGCTCTAAGAATCCTGAATAAACTCAATCTATTTTTAGTTTCGAGTTAGTCTTCTAGACTAACAGTAAATCAGACATATGAGCTATGTTCACCCAATTTCGTTTGAAGTGATGAATTATTGGTAATTAAATTTTACCACAATGATATGGATATAGATGACTTACCAAATGAATTTCAAATAAATTGCTTTCCCAAAAGGTATTCACACTCAAGGTAGGATACAGTTACGAACTCGCCTAAGCCTTATCAAGACCACCAATGACGTTATGATTTGCAGCGTATAATCTCGACACCTTAACAAGAACGCCACATTTCCACGAGTGTCCTTGGCTTACAGGGCAGATGTAAATTTCAAGAAAGGTCATGCATTTTTCATTTTACCTTATGTGATAAGAAAATAAGTCTATACTAAATTCAATTTGAGCATCGAGTTATTAAGGGAAAATCCAGATGGCAGTCCTTCATCAGTTTAAAAGAATTAAGGTGAACACGGCAGTAGGTTCCACCTGACTAGCTATAGATTGGCTTTACTTGAGCATTCTTGTTGCCGATCAACTCAAAACAGCTTCCTTCGATTTCGGTGAAAACCCGCTAAGCTTTCGACCTTCATATACTTGACGCAGCTGCCTTTACAAGCACTTTGATATAGGCATACCTTTCATTTCATTTGAGAAAGCGGTTGGAATGGATTAATACATTGGACACATCAGATACCGAGGGCGAATTGCCTTAGATTTTTGACTGTTGAATTGTACGAAGAAGACCTCAGCCCACCTTCCTGTGACCCCGATGACTCAGTGAATAGCTTTTATTCGTCATAAGACCGACATTGTCAAAGCCATAAACCAGTGTTTATGAACAATAACCTAAGAACAAAAATCTGACATCCTACATACTTCTTATACCTCACCATACTATCTTAATTAGGTAGTATATGATTTGCTTGGCCTCATATACATGTATGTTAAAAAAATGGTTTCTGGCTTTGGCAATGTCCGAAACATAACAGATAAAAACTCGGAATGTAGTCATCGAGCCCGCAAACCGAAAATACGACTCAATTTTTCAGACTAGCGATGGTTCACGGCGTTGCGCATATTTCAATTGGGGGTAAGAGATTTGAATATCGATTCCATCGGAATACGGCAGTGAATTCCCCTTGGTCAGCTGGCAAATGGCTTTATTTGAACATTCTTGTTGACGCTGTTTTGGAAGCAATCTCCTTCGATTTATGTGATAAAGTGCTATATTTTCGCCTGTCGCATGACGGGCATAATCAGAGCAGGGTATCATCCTTTATAGCCATATTAAAGTTGACTAGTAATGGAAACTCACCGTATATCTAAACTTTTCAATGAAGAATTAAGTGATTTGGTTAGTTCAAGCCATATGCAATCTTCGAAGCATATAAGTGTGCTTGTCTATGTATATATGTGCCTTCATATGTTCGTATATCTACGAAACCAGCACTGATGATTTAAAGTAGTTAGATCAGAATAAACAATGTCTGTTTTTGTCTGCTGTCAAGATTCTATCAGCATTATCACCAACTATATGCATATGTTTTAACCATAAATCCGATTGTGCGGTCTTACACAGTTCTGACTATGTTTATGAGCCACTTTTCTTCATGCTTGAGCCAAGTAGTTGGCTCAAATGTCGGAGCTTACATTAAGATTATTCCTATTTGCTCTGAACTATGACCGGTTTTATGTATAAACAATGACATAAATACACACACAGATACACTTGAGTTTATATGAATTCGCCAAACTTTCCTGTCCATCAAATCAAAATTTTTGCTCGAAATGATTATATATATCATATATAAAAAATCCATTAGTCTTCTTGACTTAGTGTTAACTTGAAGCTCTTTAAGAATTAGTCCCAACCCTGACGGTGCTCGTAACATGAAGAAGAAAAGCTCAGCTCGCCCTCGTTGATAAATTTGGTAAATGTCCTGTGGGCTGCATCAATCAGAACGTCATATTAAGGCCAAACAGCTGCAGTACAACGCGAACCAATGGTCATTTATTTAGATTAACCTATGAATATCTTCATTATGTATTTCCTTTCGAAATGAAAGTTTTTCCCTCAATCTTATCTGAGGTGCATATAACAAAACCAAGCACTGATTAGGGAAGTGCGGGATAGGTCACCACAGAATCATCTTTTTTTAACTTATCCACGACGACTCTTGCACTAACTTCACCTGCTTTCGAGACAGACTGATCGTTTTGATGCAAATATTTAGAAACTCTATTCAATTCATAAGATTTATTTAAATAAGTATCTGGCCAAAGTGAGGAATCTATACCATTATCAAAAAATGTGATGCTAATCATCAAACCTCGATGGCAGATAATGAACATTACTTTTTCAGTTCAAATTACCCTGAGATTTAGCATTGCTGATTTCGTATATACATGAATGCACGAATGCATATAAACACATTCCGAGGTTGACATATGAATTGGAATAACTAGACCAATTTATAACTCATCAAAGAGCTAAGATGTGGTATAGATACGTCACTGGAAAACAGACCTGTGAATATTCTTGGCTCGGACATTGTTGCAAAAATTCTGAACTGCTCCGATGATGTCCACTATAGACGAGCAAAAGCTTAGCACGTTTTCACAGGGAACGAATGAAGTTGCCTCTGAATCAGCGGAAACAAGAATGATAAAGTAGAAGCGTTCGACAATTGGTCGAGAGAATTCCGCCTTAATCTTCTGGTGAGATGGACCTTTGAAGCTATTCACCAAGCACACCCGCAACGGAGATAAGCTCAACGTTTATAATCAAAGAGTCCTCCCTGCGTCTAATCAACCTTACTAATTTGATAATGCCATCTATGTAGTGTAAATGTATTTCTTGCCAAGTTAATTTACGCAAGATTTGAGGCCTTGACAGATAATGCCAGTTTGCTATGAGCAGACTGAAAATAAACCCAAGAAAAAATCTCCAATCAAATCAGTCGGGTCATCTGCTTAGTTATCACACTTGGTAAAATAATTCAGTTGTGCTACATTTATCGCCTACGATAGACTGAGGCATAGGCGTTGATACATGTGAAATTAGAACATGCCGAACATAGGAGATAATTAGCCAGATAATAGACCTTCTGGTCCAACCTAATGATAACTACCGCTTGGACAATCACCAAGAATCAAGAGTTTGACTACAAGCTCCACACTAGCATGGTTTAATAGGATAATAGTCAATGTCAACATCCTTAGTGGACGAACTTGCCACAACAAGAAAAATTTTTCGCAGTCATAAAGATTCTTAGGTAGATATGAAAACCGAGATGATGTAACCCGTTTATTCGCAGTCTCCTTTGCCTAAGAATGAATAGAGGATAAATCAGGCTATAGCCACCAGATGGGAGAACAAGAAAAGGGCCCCATTTCCCTTCACAACTAGTACTATAACAATTTATTAATAACAAAAATTAATCTCCTCTTATAGTCATTAATGTGGAGAAAGCCAATATTGTGATCACATGGGTTTGAGACAATTGGAGTAACCATTTGCAAGAAACAAGCAAAATTGGCAAAATGGAAATGATAAAGGTAAAGTTTTAAGTCCACTATAAAGCAAATTTATGTTTTGCGAAGAGCATAACTCACGATAGAAGGCTCTCATTGTTGATGCGATTTGAATAAAATTTCCAACAACTTTTTCTCAAAATTCCGATTATGCAACGAATATTTCAAATACAACTGTGAATATGATAAGGTTAAGCTAAAGCACTTATGAGTATCTCACGATCAATTTAAATACTATAAATAAATAAAACAAAAAAACATTAGAGATGATTTATTATTAGGCAGATAAAGACAGGAGTATGAAAACAAGTAAAAGACTAGAATAAAAAGAAATAAATTAGTTGAGTAGATTATAAGGATTATTTCAAATGAAGTTATATTGGGAAAATAGGTAATTCTGGATGTGCTTCGAAATCATGTTCTGATAATTCAAAACAAGCTCTCCTTAAATAAAAAGGATGGAAAAACTTCACTAAACACAAAAAGACATGAAATAATTTATATCATAGATATATAGACCAAAATGGTGTGGGCTTCTGTTTGGCCTCAGTCTCCTTTAGCCTTTTAGTTTTGGTTTGACCTTGTTTTCGTAACTTGATCGGAGCGTCAGGAGAGACCTTGTGAAACGTAACTAGTTCGGTGTCGTCTGCCATAGTATTCGTGATTTCCAGCATTGGAACATTTGCTAGGTACATTCCCAAACGTTTCACCGACATCGTCAGTGAGAGGCGCCATCATAAACACAGAGCTACAACTTATCGACGGCCCCTCTCACTGACGATGCCGCGAATCGTTCGGAAATGTACCCAGCCAATGGTCCAATGCTGGAAATCACGAATAGTATTGCAGAGGATACGGGACTAGGTACGTTTCACAAGGTCTGCCTAACGTTCCGACCGAGTTGCGAAAACAAGCTCAAACTAGCCCCATTAAAAAATTTAATCAATGCGATGGCCAGGCTCTATTTTCCAGGCTCCAAGAGCGTAGCGAAGACGAATGGAAAGTAAATCTTTTGCCATTTGTAACCAAGACAGAACTGGAACCAATTTAGAACCTAAAATACAATATACGCAAAGATTTTTAAGCTAGTTAGATCCAAAAGGTTGATCATAAATAAAATATTCAAAGAACAAATTACAAGAAAGATAATATTGTAGAGCTAACTGACCATCAACTTCGTGCCAACTAACAGGAACTTCAGCGATGGATATTCCGAAATAGTTAGCCAAGTAAAGAACGTCAACATCGAAAGCCCAACGTTCAACATGTTGATTGTGAAAAATTACACGAGCAGCCGATCTACTAAAAAGCTTGAATCCGCATTGAGTATCACGAATTCCCTTGACACAAAGTATCCATACAGCGAAATGAAAGCAATACATCAATAAATTTCTGAATGGATGTCGTTTTGCTAGTACATCAGACTCAAGATGCGCACGGGAGCCACAAATTACAGCGTTACTTCCATTCTATAATAGGGAAAAATAAGTAAGCGAGCAAGGTTGCTAAGGCCAAATTTAATCTGGGATGTGCAAAAGAAGGAACAGCATGTTTGCTAATTAGTTAGACATACGGGGTTTGGATTAGAGTGAAAATGCATTTAACCCACCCAACGGGAGGCAGTAAGCGATGACAATTTTTTCTCGAGCTTTTCCACATCAGAAAACTTTGTTGCACCGTCAGCATCCGCAAAGAGCAAAATCCTGCCCCGAGCAGAAAGCATGCCCTATTTCATTAACGTCAAGAGAATTTGGCTATTAATGTGATAGAAAACACTCACGATTCTGACAGCAGCACCCTTTCCTCTGTTTTTGTGCAAGGTTAGTACTCGAAAAACGTCGGTTGTAAACTTTTGGGAATATTTCAAGGCGACCTAAGGTGCTCGCGGTAAGATGGATATTACCTGAGAGGTGCCATCTGTACTTCCATCATCAATTATTATAACTTCGTATGTGAAATTACCACGACTCTAAAATAATAAACTTAAAATAGTCAACTTCTCTTGTGCTGAGATAGTCTAGGGCGTCGCCAATCATAATGGGCACTAAGAGTTTGAAATCAAAAAAGACTTACATCTTACGGATTCGTTATACGCTGGAATAATAACGGATAAATCAACTTGAGGCCTTTCGCTGAGACCAAATGGAAATGCAATGTATTTTGATTCATTCGGATCGTAAAATGATTCTTCCTTAGGAGCCCTTTCCAAATTTGGATAGGGATGGCTGGATAAATATATTAAAATGAGAAACTAGTTATGTTAGACACAAATAAACTCACGAGAAATGCGACTATAACTGAAATTGTTGCCAGAGAAACAAAAGCTAGGAGCCAGGACTCAAATGACATTGGCCAGGTCTGTGCCTTTGGGTTGTTCGTAAATAGACCGCGTTAGTCAGTTATGCAAATTTGAATAAATTAGTTAAAATAATAGGATGACTTCAAATTTTTGATGACATTAATTATATCTTGAATCAGATTGATTATGTTTTACAGCG